TCATAAGCTGCGTATATCCGGCTCGAAGGACCATGTTTAGCTGAGGGGAGCGGGAGACCAGGTTTAGATTTTTGAGATATTTGAGAATTGCATAAAAAATGCATACCCAATTAAGAACGAGCGAATTACTTTTAAACACAAGTGCGTGTGTTTGTTCGCTGCACTTGGTTTATGCGGGAACTGCATAAGTCGCTTAAACATGTGGGTTTCTATTTATCCAAGGTAGGTTGGTATTGAATTTGGAAGAAATCGGACTGTAACCACGCCTTCTTCCCATATAACGGTGATTTTCAGAAATACGAAAACTGAGATATTTTAGTAACTACTAAAGATTATTCACTCAAAATTGATATTTACGATAAATTTAAGACGAAAAATAAGAATATTATAAATTTTTGGAAAATCGGCGTAGCCACGCCCACTTATGGTTACATGTGTATATCTTGGTAACCGCTGCACCAATTTCTTCCAAACTTGGCACAGTGGTTCGGACAATACCCACGCCCACAGCCCATATAACGATAATTTAGAGAAATACAAAATCGTCGATAAATCAGTAAATATTAAAGCTAATTTATTCAAAATTGATGCTTGCAGCAATTCTTTACCAAGATATACGCTTATGATAAAATTTTGGAAAATGGGCGTGGCACTCCCCACTTATGATCACATATATGTATCTCGGTAACCGTTCTACCAATTTGTACCAAACTCGGTATGGTTATTGTGCTTGCCACATTCAAGCAAAACGTTGAAAATTATTGAAATCAGACTAAAATTACGGCCGCTTTTCATACAACGGTAAATTTCAGAAATGCTTGAAACTTCAATATTTCGAAATTTAAGGACGCTAATTTCCTTGATTCACCCCGGCTTACCATGTAGCGGTAGGATTCGTAAAGGTGAAAAACATATATTTAATAGTTGCGCCGGGTATTTAATTTACGGCTCCGTCCGAACTTAGACTTTCTTACTTGTATTTTTTTTTTAATATGGCACAAATTTGGAAACTTGGATTTACACGGGTTTTGTTAAAGAATGAACAATATTTTTATTAAAAAAATAACCAAAATTAAATAACAATGAAAATAATACGTTAAAACTGGGGGTCAGAACACCTACAATTGTTGGTTCCATTTTTGATAAAACGTAATGGGATTTTTGGGATACCTTTGAACTTGCAAGTTTTTAGTACAGCTGATCAAAATTTTGTTTACATACAAAAGCGCAAAACAGAAAACGTGAAAAGAATGTATGTAAATTAAAAGTTTTCCTAAAGCAATTTGCTAAGCAATATGAGTAAATGAGTATTTGCTTTCGTCCGATACATTTGCAGTTCAAACTTATAAATCATAATAATAAATCTAAAACAAATTTCTATATTTTCATAAATTGAAAACAGATGACTTTGATCAGCTGTTTTTCTTGCTGGGAAATGGCTGCTGGTAAAAATTAGTCCAGCAGAAACTAGCAGCTTTTCATCAAGATGAAATGTCAATTTGGTCTCTCAATTTCCCCTACTTTGCTGGATTTTTGTGTACGCGAACAGGAAAATCTGATAGTTTGTGATAGTTTTCAAAAACTATCAATAAGCGAATAAGCTTACTATCGCTTTGATAACTTCCAATAGTGACGAAGAAGTGACATCGTGTCCATATTCGATAAAATTCTCTTCTAATTGCTGGCAGGCAGGGGCGCACCCAGGAATATATTTTAGGGGGGGTTTTATATTTCTGAAGATATATCACCGGAAAATACTGAAAATTTCCTCCAGATAATACCCTCTTTAATATACATTTATGCAAGTTTTATGTACAGTATGTAATAAATAAATCAACGTTTTAAAATTCATAAACTGCACTTTATTTACA